TTAAAAAGAGAAAAAAAGGCAAGGAAATAAAAAAATAGAAAGAAACATTAAAAATGCACCGATGATTTAAAGACACTCGAACAAGGTTAACAACCCGCGATCACTATACGCAGCGGGATCAATCACGGAATTCGTCGGATTTATACGCGAGGCAATCGTCATTCCACCCTTTCTTTTCACTGAAAACTAACGTCGCGACGCTGCACGTGTTATTCACAGACCGTTGATTGACGAACAAATCACTATAAACAGCGTAACTCGTCGAGATATCTTTGCGAAAAACACTCCGAAAGGGTTTAGAACGAGTGAACCAGATATGGGGAGAGAATTTGTGAAGCTGATTATGAAACGAGGTACACTCGAAATGCCAAAATCATTCGCTCCACTTTTTCAAATTCTTCCAATTTTCGTATCGAAACGCACGCTTGACTCTTCGCGAATAAGAAAAATTGAATAAATCTAACTTGGTGGAGTTAGTCACTTTGGCTTCTCTGAGTGGATCAAATGACGATTTCAATCACGTTACTGTTGATAGCAATGGAATATAGAAGGTGGAGATCGTGTTGTAATTTAATAAGAAAGTATGAATTCTTGGTAACTTCGAACACTTGGGAATTGCTTGGATATTTATCAACGATTGTAAAAAGTTAATGAAATTAATCGATTCGTTAATACACTACTTTCCTACGTTTCATTGTTGTATTTATTGTAATAAGATTTTTCCTATTGGTAGATTATTCGAAAGGCTATTGTTGACAGAACAGTCTTGTTCAATTATACAAATAATCGAGGTTTTCATTGGTTTTATGGATGCTTCAACCCTCCGCAGGCAGTTTGGGTCATTTATGACCCAAGCGAAAATTTCACCTCTGTATTTCTTCCAAACGAATTTTTACGTTTAAAGAGTTTAAAATTTTGTAAAAGTTAAGAAGTTTAAAAACCTAGCAGAGACTTCGATAAGTATTCCAGAATTTTCTCATATTTTTTGAAAGCCTAGAATAGTGAAAAAATTTCAACGTAAACGACGCAGTTTGCCTACGAAGTGTGAAAAAGTATGCTCGCCTACTTGTTTACTATTATTCGTATAATTGTATAAACAAAAATTACGTACAATCATACAAAACAGATAGTATATTTAGAACGAATGTCATTTTCGTTTACGAACGCTGTGTGAATTCACACGTTTCATCTCGTGTTGCTAAACGTTTCAATAAAGTATTGTTGAAATTACGATTAAGCACTTTAAAACGCGATCTGTATCGCGTAATTTACATAGTGTTGTGTGCGGCTCAAACGAGTAACGTCCAGATGCGGAGCTTAGGAATAATTTCAACTTCCTTTAATTTTACTAATTTAAACATTTTCGTCACAAATGAACTAAATGCTCCTGGTACAGCTTCTCTCATTTTACACTTTACATTCTGCACGTTAGAATTCGAAAAATCGACATTTATTTTCCGAATGTAATTTTCAATTGTTTGCAATACTACGATTAAATGATAAACTTGTACAACATCGATAAATTATAATTCTGAACGTTTTCAACATTCGTCGTTCGAATGAAAGGCATTGAAGTCACCAGAAAACGATACGAAATTTCTCGATAGTCGAGTATCTTCGTCCGTCACGCTAACAGAATTATTTTTCACTACGAAATTCAAAAATTTCTTGTAAAATTATCTTTGTCGCTCGTTGCCAATTACTTGAAATTTTCGTCGAAACATATCGTCGTATGTACCATCGATTAACTAAAATTTCATCGCGAATACGAAATCAACTATATAACTTCAACAGCTACGCGTTACAATCACGCTCCTCCGTCAATATTTCACAATCTACGTCGATTTATTCACAAATTACCAGTCCAAGATATCCTACTTGAAGAGCAAATTTTATCACCAAACAACTCGATGCAAAAGTAAACTACACCCGTTGCAACATTCCATCTCCTAGTTGCCGTGTATTTAAATACCACCAACGTTTCACAATCATCGCTTGTTTATTCTTGAATTAAATGAAAAACCTACTACTCCCCTCTCGAAAATACCTAATTGCAACAAATACTAGGATCACTACCAACAGTTCCATCGAAATCAATCATTATACACTACCATAAGATATTCCACAATTTTAATAGAATTATCCAGCAACGAACCAGTTCTCCAACGTGAATTCGATATGTAAATTACAAGGTTAAAAATTCATCCCCTGCAAACGACGTGAACTGTGTGTAAGATCAAATTCTGATCCACGAGGGGATGAATCGCGCGAATCGACACGCAAGATCAAGCGAATCCTACGGTTACGCGTGGATCACGGGCAACCGATTAACCGGAAGTAAGAGAGTCGTCGGCAGAGGCTGGAAGTGTAAATGGCGAAAAAGAAGAGACCGCTGGATCAAAGTTCGACGTGTTTCGGGCAAACAAGAACGGCGAACGCGTGGGTGTTTCGTACTGTCGAAGCGACGCAATAGCCATCCGCGGAATTGAACGTTTAACGTCAGACTGAAGGCCTTCTGGCTGGCATACACACCTTTGCCAGAGGAAGAGGAACGAGTCGAGTCGAGTCTGCGCCGTTTGCACGTGGACGCGGATCTAGAGCGTCAAGAAGCGAAAAGTCGCCGGCTAAGAAGCGGAGGACCCTGCCAAAAATCTATACACGGTGTGTCTGAAAAATTCCAGGGCCGAGTAAAAGCCGGGAATAGACGTTCCAGTTGATTTTCGATACGCCGCCGGATCATTCTGTTTGACGCTGCACACCGGGTGAAGGAAAACAGAAGAAACGAAAATGAGTGGCTATGATCGATGGATCGTAGATTATATCGAGTGTTTGAGTAATACTGATATTCAGATTTTGCCGGATCTTCGGGATATGGTCTTAACTATTACACGTGCTAATCATTCAAGTTCAACTTCTTTTTCCATTTTTCTCCGATTTCCGTATTACGTTATCCTTTCTCTTAGATCGTCTCATAATATTTTCAACAGACCTTTAAATTTGACGAAAAAGACATAAGCGCCTTCTCATTTCGTAAATTTTTTGTGTCGTCCCTATAGTATTTCCTTGAATTTTCATTAAAATATTTTTCGCATTCGACACGAACTTATGGAGAACTTAAGAATATTATGGCAAACTCGTGAGAAAGCTTATTTCTATACGCCTGCAAAATAATAATAAAAAAAAAAAGGAAAAATTGATCGTTTTTGGTGCATCAAATTGAGAAAAATTTTGAGGTTAAGAGGTTAAGGGTTATACTGTTAGAACGAAATCATTGAAACGGATCGTTATATAATCTAGAGAATGATTAGGGATAATAAGTGAAGATGCCATGTGAAACTAAGTTCTGTGGAATTGTCACTTTTAAACGGTAATTTTGAAAAGTGGAATGTTTCAAGGAAGTGATACAATGAGTTTTAGAATTGGGTAGAAATTGGAAATATCGATGAAACGTAGGGATATCGATGAGATTGTATTCTTCTTTTTTTCTTCATCGATTGAATTTTAAGTGTAATTTTGAAATTTAGAGAAATTAAGGATTAATAAGAAGCCTATAGCGATGTTATTCTGCTACGAAGTATTTTCGGAGTAGTAACGTTTCATCAATGGAATATCGAAATAGAACACGCAGAACATGTACGTTAATATTGTTCGTTTCCTTATTTACGTAGCTCTGAAACTTTTCAGACACACTCTATATTTATTCGTTCCAGGCGGACATATGAAAAGCGGAACACGAAATCATGGCCTGATGAGATGACTCAAGGTTGCTAGGATGCACCAGAAACGGCCAAAATCTTTGCATACGCGATTTTATCACTGTCAAATGTTTTTACTAAGAAACTGTGTAAACTCATATTTTGTTAACTTCTGGGAATAAGTGTCGTAGTTAGAAATTCGAATTTTTTAAATTGAAGAAAAACAAAAATTTAGGAGAATTTTAGAAATCTAGCTGTAGTTTGTATAAAGTAGAGAAAAAATTAATTTGCTCGACTTCGTTAAAGAATAAATTGCAAACTTTACTACAATTTACTATTAATGTTGCTTTGAAAAATATTTTCAATATTAGTTTAGAAGATGTGATAAATTACAGATTAAAAATTCAGAAAAATTAGGAAATTCATTTTGATTGTTTTACTCAATTTTACGTAAAAGTTAAAATAAAATAAAAGAAGAATTTATGTTTATCAATTTTATATAGAATTCAAATTTATCAATTTTACATAGAATTCAAAGTTTGTCAATTTATACAAAATTCAAAATAAAATAACAAAAGTTTGTTATACGTTATTTCATTGATCGACACAAATGACCGAACAAATAGTTTCAACAAAGTGACACTGTGTACAGCGAATCCATGTTTCTTAGCTAAGGTTTCTTACTCACCACGGCACGCATCAATGTGAAATCCAAATTCATTTGGAAATAGTGCCGATCTTCGTAACGTTTCTATTTTGGCAATTATACAATTGCGTAATAAAGCAGCAGTGACAGTTTGACGGAGCAGTTGAAATAGTTCGAGAAACAGTTTGTTATTTTACATCGATATAAGAGTGTGAGTGTCCTGTTAAAAAATTTATTTGATATTTCGGAATAAATTATGCGAATATACACGTTGTCATAGACGAGAGAGATATATATGCTGAGAGAAATATATGAAATAACATCCAATAAAACAAAAACTTGGACGAATATTGATCTCCAGAGTACATAAAAATTGAAAATTATCGAAATAAAAAAATATGCACAACTATTAATTTTTAAGAAACACGAGTAAATTCCATCTTGTAATTCCAAAGATTAAAACACGTATAAGACTGTTTTTCTATTGTTATTACCATGAACAAAAATTTATGAAAATTTTTTAAATCTTTAAAAATCCGAGTAAAAAGATAAAAGGAGTAAATAAAAAAATTTATTATTGCGAAGTTTTATCTATTCGTAGTAATTGTATACTTATATTATCAATTATCATGCAGTTATCAAATAAAATGTCTACTCACTTTGTTTTGGAGAGATTCGGATCGCTGGTCTTCCTCTTTTCTCGTAGCTGTCGCTGCAATGAAAACAGTCGTAATGATACTCACAGATACATACCAAATGCTAAATTAAGTCATCCCACATGAAATATCATTTCATCGGAATGTATGTAAAAATAAATTTCTCGAAACTAGACCGGTATTTCTTGTATCTTTAAATTTTAATTTGTTCGCCGAATTATCTATTTCTACGTGATGCAAAGAGAATTTCAATATAAATCGTTCGAATTCTTACCTTATGATGTATCCGCTCCTTGTAACTTTCAGACCTGTTTATGTTTGACGTCTTTGGCTTACTGGAAATATTTTGCTGCACCCTAAGTAATCGTAATTAATAAAGCGTAAATTAATACCTATAACAGAAACCAGCTAAACAACTGTAATGGGATGAAACAGAAACGATGCATGAAACTGTGATACTAATTTGAAGCATTTTTCAAACACAATTTTACTTCACGTATAACAAAACAAGACAATTTTATTTTAATTACTTTTCAACTGTAGAAAAGCGTAGGAAAAAAAATTTTCAAGGAACTTATGAACAAAGTAATATATATGAATCTTATCTTTATGTTCAGTAAGAAAAAAGCAAAAGAATAGAATTGAAGTAATTTAAAAAAATAAGTATTCTCAAAATTTACTATAAATTATTTAGAATTGAGGTAGTTTAAAAAAATTAATATTTTCAAAATTTACTATAAATTATTTAGAATTGCAGAAATTTAAAAAAATAAATATTCTCAAAATTTACTATAAATTATTTAGAATTGAGGTAGTTTAAAAAAATTAATGTTTTCAATATTTAATAGGTTCATGAATCTGGTAACGATCAAGTATAAAGTGAAAGAAACGTAAAGATCAATTATAGAGAAATTTTTATAACAATACTGTGTGCTGTTTTTATTAAGAGAACCAAGGAGAAAGGAGTCGAAGGAATTGGAGAGAAAATATTTTTTTTCAGCGATGTCATGCAAATGCGAAGAACATACATTTCTGAAATATCTTCCCGCGAGGAAGGATTGTCCATACTATCGGCGTGATCGGAGACTCCGCTGTAAGCGGAAATGCGTCCTCTTTCGCTACTACTCCGCGCGTTTCCGGCTTGGCCGCCCCCGCGATGTTCTCCTAAAAACACGAAACAAACGAACGCATTCATTAATTGCTTCCATACATACGCCACTTTAATACACATTCAATTAATTACTGGCTCGGAGCAACAAACAATTGCATTAATTTCCCTGAAATACAAAGTATGATAAATGAAGATTCCTGCATAATCTTTTTTTTTTAAATACGTAAATTACATTTACAACTGAAATTTAAATAAATTTTATACATGAATTTATTTTATTTTTTATTTCATTTTACTTTTATTTTTTTATACGTAAATTTGACTTGAGTGGATAACACTCAGAAGTGTCACCCTACATAATTACTGCATAATTATTATGCGTAATTTTAATTATACTTTTCTTGATACCATATTATACGCGAACTATTATACAGATCATTTTCACTGCACAATTACTAAGCAAAAATAAGTTACATATTACAAAATAAAAATTTCATCGTAACTCATGTCTTAGGGTAGTAAATTTCAGCATAGTTTCACTGCAGGGTTGAAATAAATGATCGTTGTTTTCACTGTGCTTTTTTTATTGTACTCTTCTATCTCGTTAAAAAATAAAAGGATCTAACATGGTACGAAAATCGTAGTGCAACAGAATCCGCGACATGGAGCAGTTAAATAATTTTGATTCACATGAATGCATCACAAAAAGGCCATCACAGGTATGTTACACGCAAACCTATCGATTTTCGATGCTATACTTCTGTATGCTTATTTTTCCACCCCGGACAGTGTTTCTACGAAATGTGTGCAATTTATAAAGAATGGTTTAAAAAGTGTAAACAAAATGCAACAGATATATAAATAATACTATACCGATGTATTTTCTCGTTAAAATGGAAGGTATTCTTAACGATACGATTTCAGTGGTAGCAAGAAAAATTCTTCAAACAGAATTAAGAAACAGATTATTTTTTTCTAAAAAAAAGTTATTATACAAAATCATCAACTTTCGTTAATATTACCTATTGCAAATTTGCAAGCAATTATTATCATTGCAAAAACCACCCCAACTCGTGAAATACGCTCGAACTTATAACAGTAATTATATTAATACGAAATTAACATATATTTCACTTAGAAAATTGACCAAGAACATCTTCCTTAATTTTTCCACGGATCGTAGAAATCTAATTAGAGAAATCGAATTACACCGTCTATTTAACAGATATATCGAAATTAATTCGCAAATTACACACGACAATGTGAAATAACCAGACCTATCCAACCGATAACGGGAATGAAAGGAATATTTCGATTTAACTTGTCTATTTGATGCTCGCTCGCATCGAATTAACACGGACCTCGATGTCTGGCATTTCTCCAACTATCCAGTCTTATGTGGAGGCTTATCAGGTAAGGAATGCGGCTCAGGGTAAAAGCAGATCATGAGAGTGTGTGTGGATAGGGTGGTTACATTAATCTCCAACTAGGCAAACATACAAATCAAAACGAATTTATTGCGTCCGTAACGTGTCATAAATTGATCAAAAGAACGCGTATTGTAATGTAGAATTCTCTACCTGTAGAAAACCTCCAACTGATCGCAAATTCCACCACGAAATAAACTACTACTTTTTCACGGTATACAAATCCACGAATAATTCGAAAATTCTTCTAATCAGAAAAATTGCACGTGAACGTCATAATAACAAGAAAAAGTAAGTGTTATTACTCGATAATAAGCAAGTTGTTTTGCCACAGCTGTAGGGGGCTAAAAGGCTATCGTATCTACTAAAATTAATATCAAGAAAATATAAACTCGTGAATTCTCTCGCGAGCCTTCTTCCATGAACTTCCCTTAAACTGGTTGAAAGATGTAGACGTGTTAACCCATGACTAACCATAAACTTCTGATTCGAGATCTATCGAGACGATAAATAATCCGCGCAAAACTCGTCCGTGATTTCATCAAAGGCCGCGATGTCGGTATTTCGCTGACTCGAGAAGAAAAAATGGAGAAGAAAGAAAAAAGGAAACTTAAATGACTGAATAAATATCCAATGAAGCTCGGTACTATCTAAAAATACCGTCGTAAAAAAGTTGGTGCTCTTGAACCCCGTAAGCAGACAGATAGTTATAGATCAGCAGGGGTAGGTATGCTGAGGGGATGCAACGAAGGAAAAGCTTAAGTCTCGAGTATTTTTAGATAGGGCGATGTAGGCGCGTGTCGCAGAGGCCGGAAACCGTTTTCTGGGCCCCTCCTTCCCGTTTTCTTCTTCGTTGTTGTCGTTGCCGTCTGCGCTCGTGCCGCGCGAGATCTATCTTATTTACCTTCCTCCCGTTCCAACGCATACTTGGCATATAGTTAGAGAAGACGACAACGATCGTTCGTCAATTTTATTTGGAAACGAGAATC